CCATCAATTATTTCCTTCTCCTCTTTAAATGCATGCTACGAAGGAGGGAAGAGGGAAGCCAATTTCCTACTAGTTCTACTATTATTCTTCATTCTTCTCCTTCTCTTAGCATGGAGCTCCATTAATGGCTCCAAGCTCCTACAGTGATGTATATGTAAATTCCCCCCGAGATTAATAAAAGTTCCTCCTCTTTGGCATGGCACCGCCTAAAAAGGCCCGTGGTTTTCTCCCGGTTTGGGTTTCCACGTATAAATACTTTCTCTCCGCTTTATTTATTTATTTAATTTTCGGATTTCGCTATTCGGTGCGGTGCCGACCCGGTACCGATTTCATCGGGTCGGCGCCCCGAAAAAGCGGTTTCCATCACCGGCGCTGACCGTGGGACCGGCCGCAAAAAAATTTTGTGCTCCGAGTCTGTAATGGAGAAAAAAAAAGTGAAAGAGAGAAAGTAAAAAAAGAGAGAAATAAATTAAAAAGGGGAGACAGCGGGTCAAAAAAAAGGAGGAAAGAAATAGGAAAAGTGGTGGTCTTCCTCCTCTTCGTAGGCCATCAGATCTGGAGCAATGAATCAGTTGGTGAACTTCAAGCGAGTAATTGGCAACGACAGAGAGCCCCTAATCCAATGAATTTCATCTGTGGCGAGTTCCTTCTTATTCCGGCGAGCCACGGACGGCAGCCGCGGGTCTTCGAGGAACTCCTCCTTCATCCGGCGAGCCACGAACAGCAGCCGCGAGCCTCCGGTGAACTCCTCTAATCCCGGTCTTCTCCAGCGAGCCTTTGGAGAGCCTCTCTCCGGTGAGCTTAGATCCGTGACCGCTTGGAGATCCGGCAAAGTCATAACCGGCGACAAGCTTCGACGAGCCCTTGGCGACCGCGGCCAGCATAGCGAACCAGTAGACAAGAGACTCCTCTAGCTCCGGCAAATCCTCCCTCCGCCGTCGAGCCGCGGACCGCAGGGATCTTTCCGGCGAGGAGCGAGCACGCGATAGGGGGACGCCGGCAGTACCCTCCATTAGGGTCGGTGAGTATCCTCCCAGACCGGCGAGCCCTCTAGCGTGCTTCATCTCTGGCGGTATCGAGCGGCGAGCC